TGTGATATATTTTTTATTATCATGCAGCACTCCCGATCCCAGACAACCTTGAGCTTGCTGTTTCTTGCGTCACGTCGTCTGGTATCCGGTTTGCTGCTCTGGACCAGACAGTCGGTCTGTCAGTCAGTCGTATTTCCAGTCAGTCAGTCAGTCAGTCAGTCAGTCAGTCAGTCAGTCAGTCAGTCAGTCCGTCGTATATCCACTCAGTTACTATAAAGTAAATCAAAACAAATGGAAATAAATTATTAAATGAATACATAATAACAAATTTAAAAATATATAAAAAGCAGGAAGAGAGAAAATTTTAAGAAGTAAAACCTAGAAAAATATTAATATGGAGTAGTCTTTCGAGTGTTGAGCCGAGGCACGGAGATTGTATGTATGTACATGTTCTTCATGTACTTTAACGGCAGAACGACAGCAGTAGAACGACAGCAGCAGTAGTACGGCAGTAGCAGTAGTAGTAGCAGCAGCAGCACTCTTAAAAGGCAGTACGACAGTAGTAGCAGCAAGAGCAACAGCAGTAATACGACAGTAGCAGCACCAGCAGTAGTGCGGCAGCAGCAGATCTGACTGACTGGCTGGCTGATTGGCCCACATCTGGGTGACCTTGCGTTATCGTTGACGTATAAAGTTGCTTGTGTCTGAGGCACTCGGGAGTCGGAGGCCAGATCTAGCGGTTTGGTTTATGGGGTGCACGTGAGGAGGAGGAGGAGGGGGGGGTTACCACTCGCTGCCAGTCTGCTACTTCCTCCCTCCCTCCTTCTGTCTGTCTCTGTTTGTCTGTTTGTCCATTCTCTTCTGCTTCTTTCTTTTTTTTTTTGGTTTCTTTCTGTTTCTCTGTTTTTCTCTGTTTCTCTCTCTCTCTCTCTCTCTCTCTCTCTCTCTCTCTCTCTCTCTCTCTCTATTGTAGATTTCGTCCCCCCAGTAAATGTATTTGTTTGTGTGTTTTGTTTCTATCACGGTGGGTCTTTCTTTGTCTTTCGAGTGCAATAATACATGTATAGGCGTGTCGTTTTGAAACTACGCCTCTAACTCTCTCACGCACGCGATGGTCTCCCATGTCCTGTAAGACGACCGTGAGTAATCCCTCCCCCTCCCCTTTTCCAATCCCTCCTTCCGTTTTTCCAATCTCTCCCTCCCTTTTCCCAATCCCTCTTTCCCTTTTTCCAATCCCCCCTCCCTTTTTCCAATACCTCCTTAAAATCCTCCCCTCCCCCCTCCCTTCGTCTGTTGATCCTAGAGCGCCTCACCTAGCGGGCCTACATTATGTTCGTTGGGCGGATGTGAACTAAATATAGCCGTGAACGACAAAGAAGAAATATCGTTGGTTTTTATCGCGATCGCGCGCGGAATGACGGTTTGCTGAGGGGGCTTTTGTTGGAAATGTACGTGCTGATGATGAGGTAACTAGGCTAGGCTAACTACTGTGGTGGCCGTGTGTGTGTGGACCTTTTCTTTGTGTCGGTTGTTACATTACATTCACAGTCAATACGGTCGTTTGGTGAACTCGACCGACCGCTGTCATGTCATGGTTGAGGTTCGGGTCTTTGTGGAGAGAGAGAGAGAGAGAGAGAGAGAGAGAGAGAGAGAGAGAGAGAGAGAGAGATCTTTCTGTATGCATGTAGATCTATGTTGGTTCCCTGAAATATCGCCAGCGTTATAAAACATGGCTACACCGCACTCAGTAGTGAGTGCACCGTCATGCAAGGCATACATTTCTGACCCCTACGACCCCGCGGTGTGCGCGCGTCTTTCTGTATGTTGCGTGCGTGCGTGCGTGTTTTCCCAACTGCAAATCTGCCTGGGTGGGTGAGTGGGTGGGTGGGTAAGGAGAGGGGGAGAAGGGGAAAGGTAGTTGGAA